AAAAACGCCTTACTATACATGGTCGTTTTTTCGGGCTCAAAACGCCTTACTAGACATGGTCGTTTTTTTCGGCTGTAAAAACGGCTTACTATACATGTTTTTTTTTTTTTCTGCCAAAAATGCCTTACTGTACATGGTCGGTTTTTTTCGGCTAAAAAGGCCTTCCTATACATCGTCGTTTTTTTCGGCCAAAAACGCCTTACTAGACGTGGTCGTATTTTTCATCCAAAAACGTCTTCCTATACATGGTCGTTTTTTTCGGCCAAAAACGCTTTCCTTGATGTGGTCGTTTTTTTTCGGCCAAAAATGCCTTACTATACATGGTCATTTTTTTTTGGCTAAAAACGCCTTACAATACATGGTCGTTTTTTTTTCAGCCAAAAATGCCTTACTATACATCGTCGTTTTTTTCGGCCAAAAACGCCTTACTACACGTGGTCGTTTTTTTCGTCCAAAAACGCCTTACTATACATGGTCGTTTTTTTTCGGCTAAAAACGCCTTATTATACATGGTCGTTTTTTTCGGCCACATCACATCAATGGTGAAAAAAAATTTGGAAATTATTTATCTTGGTTGGTTTCGTTTTATTTAGTTATTTATTTTTGTCTGGCCTTCGACCAGAGGTGTGTCAACTTGTGCGCTGTCGTTGCATCCTGACCTTCCGTAATCGGCCGCCAGCGGCGGAACTCAAGAGGGGCGATGAGAAAGTGCGTCTGTCCAAGTGGACTCCAGCGGTTGAGGACCCGGAGGGTCCAGACGCCAGGCCGCAGCGGCGCAGCCAGCGGAGGGCGGTAGTGAGTGACGTCAGCTCCTGCGTCCACGTGGATGTCGTAGGTAGCGGCGATCACGTTTGTGGGGTCGATCCACACCACCGTCGCCGTCAGGTTGGTCGCAGCGCGGCTCCATCGCTGCACTGCTGACACCTCGTCCTCGGGCCCCAGCGGGCTGCCGCGCCGGCGGAACATTCGCTCCTTGGGGTCCCAGTCTGCCCCCACCTGCACGCGCGCCTTTTTCGGCTAAAAGAAGACGCCAACATTGGTTGCCATGCAAATTGGTTTTTGGAGCATCTTTTTTGGCTTTCATCTTTTTTTTTTTTTTTTTTTTTTTTATCAAGTCGTGTGTAATTGTGCGTGTGCACGCATGCTACCTGTATGTGTTGCAGCCTGTTGGCAGGGTTGGGGGGTTCGGCCAGGCTGAAGTGGTCCTGAGGGGTCACCCAAGTCTCCAGGGTCTCCATCCGCGCGGAGGCTCGGTTGACTGCCGTGTGGCGCACCAGGTAGCCCTGGAACTGGTCCGACACGAAGTACATATGCACGGACGTGGGGAGCCCCGTCGCCTCATATCTGAAACACGCACGCGCGCACACTGGGAGTGATGGGCAAATATGCAACCATTTTACAGCTCGCAAACAGCGCGTCTTGAGTAGTTAAGCACGAGCGCAGACTTCAGGTGATGGGAGTCATACATTTTTACAGTTGTGAAAACAGACAAGTCTTTCTTCAACACACACACACACACACACACACACGTACAGGAACCACAAGTCCCACCCAAACATTAACAAGGACTTCCTTGTCGCTTATGAGGGCCCCCAACCCAAACTCACACACACCCACACAGAAACTGAAGGTCGATTGTGCGCCGATGTGAGCAAAAATTAGCCAACGTAAGCTAACATTGGCATCAGCCAACAGACACTCAAATATCCCATGACATTGAACTCACTAGCGGAGGTTGGAGATCGCTGGTGAGTTCACTGTCATGGGCCATTTGAGTGTCGAGTCACTGATGCCAACGTAGCATTTTTTACTGCTACTTTTTAAACTGCTCTCTTGGGGAAAAAAAATCACTAATGAAGAGACTATTTGAAAATGTTGCAGCTTTTGAAATGTGGCTAAAAAGTTAAACCCCGAATAATTTTGTGTGTGCAGTCCAAAAAAAAAAAATGCATGCAAAATCGACTTGAAATTTTCAACAACCATGCTGGTCCATTTGTAAAGTACAATTCAATTGTATGGGAAAAACATTTCAAAACCATTTTTTGAAATGGTGCCTGTTGTAAAAAGTTTGATATCACTACTTAAAATGATTCATCGCAATTAGAAACATTTCTTTTGAGTATACCGTGAATTACTTTGTGGTTTTTCACTCTTCATTACATGGGAGGACTGTAACGCCCGTACTGCGTAACTCATGTCATGTTTTACCAGATGACATCACTGATTATAATCCTCCAGGGGGAAGGTCAACGTATACTCTGGTGAATATCGCAGCATTGGAAAGTCACTTAACAACAGACATCCCCTGAAAAGGGCTGTCACCATTGGTCTGATCCGGTGAGATTTGCGGCACGTTTTGGTACCTGCAGCTGTCATTGGCGGCGCGTCCCTGCAGTGAGGCGGCGGCTCGCTCCAGGCCCAAACGGGCGAAGGCGTGGTAGTGGCTGAGCACGGCGTCCGTCAGGCCGTCGGCGCTGTCCGTCTCCCCCTCGTAGATGTTCTCCCAGTATGCGCTCAGGCCCGGCAGGCCCGGCGCCGGCGACCCGAACAAGTGCGCGTCCAGCTGGTTGATGATTTCCTGGCTGATGCTAGCTTCGAACTTCCTGGCGAAGAAGGTGGGACGCGGTGTTTGCTGCCAATAACAACAACAACGAGAAGGAAGAACTTGTAAGTCAGCGCGAGTGTTGATATACCGGCCCTCATTCAATATATCAACATCTTCTGAAGGCTGCCGATACCAGCCGGTGATACTTAAGATAAAAAAGTGTTAAGTAAGTCCTCCTTGCCAGTAGTTGGCACTACACTGTGATGATTGCAGACATCTGTGAATCATCATGTGCTTCAGAAAGATAGATAGATCTTTGTTTACAGTTATCTGTCTTTGTGTTCTATTATGGTGCTAAAGTCATAATTTAGTTAAGTTAGTTTAAAAAAAATACAACTTTAATTTTATTCTACTACAGTTTTTCCTTTTGAATACAGGTGTTTATTAAAAAAAAAAAGACTACATTTGAGAAAAAAAAAAACGCACCATTTTTTTCTACCCCCCCACTATTCAATCTATACATCACAATCACATGAGAGCTCTTCATTGGCTCAAAGATAAGCTACGCTAAGGCAATTAAATTAAGTGAATTCTCCAACTCTTAATTTTTGTTAAAGGACAATGCACAGGTAGATTAATTTTCAAGTTTTCATCAGCGGGAGTTAAGTATCCCAGTGGCGCCCCCAATGGCAGGGAGTGGCGGCACGGGCCGTAACTGCAGCACTAATGACGGGTTGGAAGTCCGGAGGGGTCTAAAAATACAGCAGCTGCTTCCTGGATCAGCTGCCAGCACGCAGAGGCCTATAGCTCAGGACGCACCGCTAATTTGTCAAAGCTATTCCCGGCGCGGCTGGAAAAGTGGACGGCACAACACACGCGGTCTTCGCTAGCCGCTTTTTTTTTTACAGGCCCAGAAATATCTGAAGATGACCATCACTTGCTATTGGCATACATCTGGCGCTTGATAATCATTACCTTCTCATGACAACCTTATGCCGTCTGAAGATCATCATTCAAATGGCCACTTCAAAGCAAAATGGCAGGCTTCCTGTATCTTGTATCTTTAATTGCCCCTAAAAACGACCAAATTCATCCCAAAATGCCTGCTTCAAAGTATAACAACTGACTTCCTGTGTATTTTCAGGTATTTTACTGTAACAAATGTAAAAATTTCACCAGGATGAACACATCTGCCAAATCTGACAACTTTTAAAGTACATCAGGATTTACCACTGTAAATGAAAGACGTGTTTGTGTGTGCATTACGCGAGAGTTACCAGGAAGCGCGGCATGTCGGAGGGCTGGAAGTCGTTGGGCGAGCAGCCGCACCAATCCACGATGTGCTTGTACTGACATTTGCAGCCCAGCTTGCGGTTCCAGTTGGTCAGCCGCAGGTTGTTGTCCACCATGCTGCCACAGAGGGCGCTGTTCTCCAGCACCGTGTGGAAGAACGACTGCAGGGGGCGGCAGAGAGCGCGTGAGGCGGCCGTGTGAAGCTTAGACCGCAAACGGGTCGGTCGTCTCATTCAGCGCTTAGCATGTTGCTGGGATACGTCACTGCGTCCGCTATTTTGGACGTGGCAAATTTGCCTGTTAACTAACAAGCCAGTGGACTGGATTTCACAAAGCGACAACCGATAAAGTGCACAAAGTTGAATAGATTTGGGAAAGTGAAAAACAACAAATGTCACTTTTAATCAGACGATTAGAAATGTTGAAGGTTTACTATCGGGGAATCGGGCTATTCCCCAGCAATACCTCGGCAGGAAGCAGCGTGAAGGTGTAGAATCGCTTCAAGCCGGAGACCAGCTCATCAGTGGATCGCACCACGTAGTCGACGAAGGCTCGATTGAGCAAGAACCAGTCGGAGCCGCCGTCCACGGCGACGCCTTCCGGGATCTTGCGGTCCCCAAGCCGCCACATGTGCGTGTCGCACTCCAGGAAGAGGCGGTCCAGGCCCTGCTTGCGAATGAAACTGACAGCACAGCTGATAAGACGACGGCCACCTCAAGGTGTGGGGGGCGGGGTTTCGTGGGAGTGACTCACCGGGCATTGTCGCGGCCGTGAGACTTGATGAAGTTGAGGTGCCGATGTTTGGACAAGAAGGCCACCAGCTGATCGTTGGTCCTGAAGGACAACGCGGATGTGAGGCGACAGCTAATCGCAACGCACGACACACAAGGACGGGCCAATATCGCCTTTCACACCAAAATACACTTTGGGAGAGGTGCAACAATGAACCAAGTCATTGAAAACTAATCGATTAGCAAATCAATAGATGAGGACCATATAGGAACTCAAATGTAATCAATTTACGTTGGCGCTATTTCTGCACTGGCTGCACTGAACTTCGCTTTTAGAAAAAAAAAAATGCTGTTCATGTTAGCAGCGCTAGAAAAAAAAATCTATTTGGAAAAATGGTCTAATAAATCACTAAAATTGATTAGGTCAGCTCTACAATGTGTGTGTGTGTGTGTGTGTGTGTGTATTTTGTTTGTTTGTTTTTTTATTTTGCATGTTGATGGCAGCAAAAATCAGTTAGGTTGAGATGTTTTCAATGGTTTGTGGCATGGTGCAGTGGTTGGCTGGAGACCAGTCTGCACTTGGTCCAGCCCTGTGCCACTTTTGGTGTCGATCGACATGCGAATGACGTGACCAATCCGATGACCTGTTTTTTGTTTTTGTTTTTCCTGCCATAACTGCTACGAGCGAGTGACCAGTCAATATGGGTGCTGTGAATTTGTCCTCTGTACGCATGGGAGGGTACGGCTCATTTGCACATCATTTTGATCAAGTCCAAACACGCAATTTCCTCTGAAAAAAAAAATCTAATTTATTTGACCGATGTGAATATTTGAATTGCTGTCATTCAAAAGGTAAAAACTGTTTCCCACTATTATATTCAAATCGAAGAAAAACAAAAAAACAATTGATGTGCCAAACGTGCGTCTGCAAATTCCTGACATTGTCAAAGTGCCCTGAATGCACCAAGTGTGTGCGGGTGTCACGTGTGCCTGCTCTCCCTGAGTGTGCTTCGAGCTGTTTCATGTCACCCCAGTTGGAGTCGGCTGTCAAACTCAACACACACACACAAAAAAAAAAAAAAAAAAAAAAAGAATGATGCACATCGCATCGATATATAAATACAGGCCAGGCGTCATTTTAAAAACATCGCCAGCGCTAATGCTAACGTCAGGGCAAAATCCCAAATAAAATAAGCAAAGTCAAAATAATGGTGACGATTTTTTTTTTCCTCTCACCGCCCAGCCTGACTTCATGATGTTGTTGCAATACACCAGAGGGATCTGTGAGCTGACGTTTGCATTCTTCCGCGAAAGGAGAGCGCTTGTATCGCGATCATCTTTATGTTACAGCCTGAAATTTGAAATCATGAATAACTTTCGGAAAATAAGGTCTCAAACTCGGATCTTTCAGCATGGGGGATATTTACACACAGAAAACAGGGGTGGAATTTTAAAATTTGCTTGATTGGAAACCCCCCACCCCCACCTCCACCCCGCCCCACAGTGTCTTCAGCGTTAGCAATGGGAATGTATGAAAAGGACCCACAGAGATCACATGACATGTTGGTACCCGCGAGGAAGCTGGAAGCGACCCGCCCGGCTCACCTGACAGGGTAATCGGCGGCGCTCAGGTTGACGAAGAAGTCCCAGGACCAGTCGCGCATGTCCAGGAGGTCCTCCATGGCTCGCAGGTACATGCTGAGCAGGCTGGCCCCGCCCCAGATGGTGGCCATCCTCCACGGCGTCATGCGCACGTTGGCGTACTGGCCGGCGAGCAGCGTCACCTCGCGGTGCAGGAAGTCCGACCTCTGAGGGGGCAACATGGCCGTCAGCTCATAGTGTGTGTGGTGCGTGGGTGCGTGCGTACGTGCGCCACCTGGTCCACGTGGATGTAGTAGAAGTGCGCCGTGTGGTATATGGCCTTGAAGAGGCGGCGGAACTGTCGCGAGGCGCGCCCGTGCACCACCAGCACGAAGGCCAGACGCACCGGAGACCCCGGCGCCCGGTCGGATGCCTCCTCCTCATCCCATTGGACGTTCACACTCACTTTACCTGTCAGGGGGAGGAGTCAGTCGGTCATCGCTGATTTGACAGCTTTTCCACAAAGCTTCCTGCATTAATGTCTATCATTCACTCTAAGAGGCAAACATTTGTTTGATGAATTCGGTTCATTCAAATGCATCCACCAACTTTTTGAATGTATTTTGATTCCTCTTTCTGATTAAATCGCTGACATATTTACTTTTATCCATGAAGAAAATAAATAGCAGGGAGCCAAAGTTGATTAACTTTGGCTATGGCTCGAATTAAGCATGAAAATGACTCATTTACTGCAGTTTAAAAATTCATGAAATAATTTGACTTTTAAGAATTCTGATGCATTAATTAAAAATATTTCATAAAATGAATGCCCCCCCCCCTCCCTCTTTTTTCTCCAATGTTTGTTCATCAGTGTCGTTCGCATCACGTGACTGCAGTGGGCTTCCAGGGCGTGCACGGAGTTTGAGGTATCGTCACCACTAACTACAGGTTGGATCACTATAGGGAAGGTCGCCCCCCCCTTTCAACCCCTCCCCCCCCCAGGGTGGGCAGCCAACTCAACCTCCCCGCCTCCACCCAGCCACCACCGCCACCTCTGCCGCCTGTCCATCAAAGTCACGTCAAAGCCGAGGCTCCCACCCTGCCGGCTCCCTAAGAGTGGGATTGTTGGGGAGTGGGGGTGGGTATTCTGGTTTTGGCTTTGGGTGGGGCCTGCGATTAAAAAAAAAAAAAAAACGCTGGGCTGACATGGAAGTCATTAGTCAGCACATCCCAGAATAAGCGTGTGCGTGATGAGGGTGTAATTATGCCGGAGGAGCTCACATGCGCTCGTTCGGCTTTTCCGTTCGGACAAAGGACACGGCCGTACGAGGTGGGGGTGGGGGTGGGGGCATGCCCCCAACACAAAACGTTGGCCCGACAGAGACATGCTGCCGTTGGGTTATTTGTTGAGCTCCTCATTTGCCGACAGGCAGCCTTGTGCGAGGCTCACTAAGGACCGGTCGCCAGTCAATGTCAGGGAACAGGGGATGGATTTGTTTAATTTCCCCCCTCCCGCCCAAAAATTTCCATCCATCCATCTATCAATCCATTTTCGGATCCGCTTATCCTCACGAGGATCGCGGGGTGTGCTGGAGCCTATCCCAGCTGTTTTCGGGCAGTTCACCCTGAATTGGGTGCCAGCCAATCGCAGGGCACACACAGACGAACAATCATCCGCGCTCACAATCATACCAAGGGACAATTTAGAGTGTTCCGTTAACCTGCCACGCATGTTTTTTTTGGAATGTGGGAGGAAAGCAGAGCACCCGGAGAAATTCCACGCAGGCAAGTGGAGAACATGCAAACTCTATACAAGAAAGCCGGAGCTGGAATCAAACCCTGCACCTCTGCAATTTGAGGCCGACATGCGAACCAGTCGACCACGGGGCTGCCCCACAAATTTTGTTCAATTTTTTTTTGGGGGGGGGGGGGGGGGGGGGGGGCAGCGCAGGGAAAATTCTAAAAAAATAATTTCTTAGTTTTGTTTTTGTGGGGGAGGAAACTGGAATATGTAATGAGGAGGTTTATCTGCGTTTTTTTTAGATTTTACAAAAAATATACACGACAGAATTTTTTTTTTCATTACCCAAGTCATTGAGTGTCAATTATAGGCGGATTTTTGCTATTCACGGGCCAGCCCGCTTCCTGTCCCCCGCAAATGGCGGGCTTCCACCGACTTGTTTTCAGTTGCAATATCGTCATTCACATCTAGACGGCGGACATGGCTTGCAGCAGGTGCACTTGCAGCGGGTGCATTTGGCTCGCAGTAAGTGGTAGAATCAATTTTCCAAATCTGCTCCTGGTCTATAAATCACAGAACGGTAAGAGTCCTTCAATTAATGCTCGGCAGATTCGGATAAATTATTGGATCACAGAGGTCAAAACCACCATGGTGGCGCAGCATTTAGCTGTTATGCTGCGCCCAGGCTGCCAACACAGGTGACATCAGCCATGAATACTTTGAAAACTTTGCTATTTTTCTCCCCATTGCTTTGATGAATGTCTTTCTATTGAAATCAATTTCCCAATTCAGTAATTTGAAAGCTACTTTGCGTGTGTGCTGTTCTCACCCTGCAGGGGGCAGTATGTTGGCAATTTGGCAGGCATGAGAAGGTTGTCCTTGTGGCGGCAGTAGACATCGGCAATCCGCTGACGACACTCGCGACTTTTGGCCCGCGACAGCGCCGAGATGACTTCCTTGCTTCCCATCTCGCAATCTGACGCCGGCGACGGGGCGGCAGATGTTGTCTGCGCCGTCCGCGGTCGGCCGCCCACTCCCACGCGAGGGAGCGCGACCGCACGCTGCGCTGCTTTTGCCGGCACGTTTTGCGCTTTGGTGTCGGCGCGCCGGCGCTGCGAGCGCTCTGCGGGGTGCCCGCCGTCCACGTGCTCCAAGTCTTTGGGGACCGAGTTCTCGTTGTTGTTGCTGTCGGGGGACGGATGTCGCTTCTCTTTGGGCCGGTGCGAGCGGTAAGCGTCCTGCAGGGGGAAATAGAATTTCTGGATTTGTTTCATTTCTGAATCCACTTGAAGGAAAGCAGGTTATGTTGATTTGGTAGGTCAAACATTTTCATGGGCCAATGTGACCTTGTGTATGTTTAAGCATTCAAAAAAAAAAAAACTCAGATTAATTTTTTTTTTGAATGATGTGTTTCTTTGGCTACTCGAAAATCCCAGAAATACATTGAATAATATTTTGAACAAATTGGATCTACAGAACTCAGATATCTTCAATACCTTCCTTCACAACAATAATAGATGACCTTTGACCCCAGCTTTGCAGGTGTCACGGAGGTTCACTCAATGATGACCAACTTTCGCCACATGTGGGTGCGCGCTAAACCACGTGACTTTGGGGTCTATTTTCGTCCCCCACATGATGCCGATATCTGTTTTGAGTGTCGGTCGGCGTGTTAAGGACAACATGCGTGACACGCGCAACCACGCGCATGCACACGCACGGGGGCGTGTCCCCCACGGGCCTCGACACCTGCGCCGCACGCGAGCATTCATTAAGTCAAGAGCAACCTCAGCTCGGAGGAATAGCGGGTAGGGCAGAGAAAAGAACGCGGAGAAGGTCTGCCTCACAGTCCAGAGGTTCTGGGTTCGAATCTGCCATCTGGTTTACATCTGTGAGGTTCGCAGGTTTTTCATTCCACATTACAAAAGCATGTTGGCTGATATATCCTCAGTTTGCAAGATGGCGCCGCTTCGTCATACGCTGCCCCCGCTGGTCGGAGGCCAACACTAACACACACACACACACACACACACACACACACACACACACACACACACACACACACACACACAAAGCGCCTTAAGTGAGAACAGTCGGGACATTGACGTCGGTTGAGATGTTTGGCTCAAAAACGTTTCAGCCACAGCGGCCTCGGCGCCGGGTTTGCACGACTCCAACCAGCATCTCACGCGGCACCCTCGCACGCAAAATAGAGCAGGCGAGGAGAAAATTTGTGCTTATGTACTGCAATTCATTTTATTTATCACAGACAGTTGAGCCAGCTCGTTCAGAGATCGGATTTTAAAAAGTTCATATGTTGCTGTTGTGACTTTTGTCTTTTCCTGTCGGGGGTCACCAAAAACAGACAAGTCGAACCCTATCGATGGCGTGGACGTGTCTATTTGATTTTCAGGAGGTGGGCATCGAAGAAGGTCTCGGCCAGTTTGTCTGTCAAATCCAGTTTTGTGATGTATGTCGAGTGCCACGGATGATTGACGGCATCCGATAAAAAGCTTTACTCTAATCTGATTGCCATGGATCAATCATTGCACGTTTTTTCTTTTTTCTCTTCTCACCTCCACAACTCAATGAGACGGAAAATACTGAATTTTAGTTTAACACACACACACACACACAGACACACACACACACACACACACACACACACACATACACACACAAAGCGCCTTAAGTGAGAACAGTCGGGACATTGACGTCGGTTGAGATGTTTGGCTCAAAAACGTTTCAGCCACAGCGGCCTCGGCGCCGGGTTTGCACGACTCCAACCAGCATCTCACGCGGACGCGCACCCTCACATGCAAAATAGAGCAGGCGAGGAGAAAGATCTTTCGGATCACTTTGCGGCCATCTGGACGGCTTTTACTGTCTAAACCGGGACTGGCATAACTTGCAGGTATTTATTTATTTATTTATGTATTTATTTATTCGTTTAACCCGACAGACAGATCAGATCATGATACGTAAAACAAAAAAAATATATAAACTATATACGCCAATAGGATCAATTTCAATGCGGCATATTTCATTATTACAGTTTATAAACAAACCAGTTATTTGCGCCTCTGAACTTTAACCGCAGCTGTAACAAAAAGCTTGGACTGAACGAGAGCCCGGAGTGAACGAGATTGCATTATTTTTGCAGATCCCATCAGTGACATCACTGATCGATCGGCAAATTATGACGTTACAATTTATCGGGCGTAAAATGCAAAATATCTGCCAATGTGATCCAGCTGATGAGATCTGGGTCGAGTCAAGACACGGCAGTCAAAGATGTTCTGATTGGTCAACGGGGACCAGCATGCACATTTTCTTTTTCTTTTTGTTGTTGCTGAGATGACAACAACAGGACTCGCTTTTGAAATTGGGGTGGGGGGTGGTCGTTTTAAGCGTCATAAACAACTTTGGTCATTGTCAGGGCATTGATGGACAAACAATGGAATGGTCGCATATCAATGTCAAGGCCCACGTGCGAACAAGAATTTGTTGACGTTGGTGTGAGAAGACTGCGATCACTGAAAAGTTCTTTAGTCATCCACATGTTGTGGCAACTGGTCCCTGCAGGGTCAGTGTGGTCTCCGGTCCACTGTTGCCGTGATGACGCAATCCTTAAATGTGCCTGGTTATAGGTTGGCAAGCGGGTGGTGGGCGGTGGGTGGGGGGAAGATCCTGAGAGAGCAAAACAAAGGCCAGAGAAGGCTTTCGGATCACTTTGCGGCCATCTGGACGGCTTTTGCTGTCTAAACCAGGACTGGCATAACTTGCAGTTATTGATGTGAATTATTTATTTCTTTATTTAACCCGACAGACAGATCAGCTCATGATACGTAAAACAAAAAAAAAAAATCTAAACTATACAGTATACGCCAATAGGATTAATTTAAATGTGTCATATTTCATGATTACAGTTAATAAACAAATCAGTTATTTGTGCCTCTGAACTTGATTAAACTTTAACCGCAACTGTAACAAAAAGCTTGGACTATTAACAATGGTCACACACAACGTGCCCGCAGTGAACGCGATTGTGTTATTTTTGCAGATCCCATCAATGACGTCACAGATCGATCGGCAAATTATGACGTTACAATTATGACATTACAATTTATCGAGCGCAAAATGCAAAATATCTGCCAATGTGATCCAGCTGATGAGATCTGGGTCGAGTCAAGACACGGCAGTCAAAGATGTTCTGATTGGTCAACGGGGACCAGCATGCACATTTTCTTTTTCTTTTTGTTGTTGCTGAGATGACAACAACAGGACTCGCTTTTGAAATTGGGGTGGGGGGTGGTCGTTTTAAGCGTCATAAACAACTTTGGTCATTGTCAGGGCATTGATGGACAAACAATGGAATGGTCGCATATCAATGTCAAGGCCCACGTGCGAACAAGAATTTGTTGACGTTGGTGTGAGAAGACTGCGATCACTGAAAAGTTCTTTAGTCATCCACATGTTGTGGCAACTGGTCCCTGCAGGGTCAGTGTGGTCTCCGGTCCACTGTTGCCGTGATGACGCAATCCTTAAATGTGCCTGGTTATAGGTTGGCAAGCGGGTGGTGGGCGGTGGGTGGGGGGAAGATCCTGAGAGAGCAAAACAAAGGCCAGAGAAGGATGATCGGTCCACGGGGTAGGTAAGTTGCCATGCTTGGCCGGGGGCGCTGTCACCGAGACGACCGAGAAATAGCTTCCAGTGACCTTTCATGACGTCACTCTTCACGCAGATTATGGTCTTTGCCTTGGAATGATGACTCTGACCTTATGGGGCCACTTTCAATTAACTATAGGCCAGTTTCAAATTTCCCGTTTATTGCAAAAATTCTTGAAAACATTCGTAGCGCAACCGCTTCATGATTTGAACCGTTTCAGTCAGGGTTTTAAGGCCCACCAATCTGGTGACAGGTCGGTGACTGAAACGGCCCTTGCTAAAGTGACCAATCATCTTCTCCTAGCTATGGACTCCGACACTCGAGGACCCACCGTGTCATTTATGGTAATATGATTTCTGACTTTTGTAATGTTATATGTGGAGTTCCACAGGGATCAGGACTTGGCCCTCTCTTGCTCAGCATTTACATGCTTCCGCTCGGTGACATAATATCTAAAAATAACATTAGTTTTCACTATTATGTTGACGATACCCATCTATATATGCTCTTAAGAGAAATACTAACCGCCGCAGTTGCTGTAATCTCGATAAAACTGAGATGATGGTGATTGGCCCTGCTCGGCACCTATTCTAAGGACACTAGTCTCAGCCTCGATAAATGTGCTATGTGAAACGGCCCTTGCTAAAGTGACCAATCATCTTCTAGCTATGGACTCCGACATTCGAGGACCCACCGTGTCATTTATGGTAATACGATTTCTGACTTTTGTAATGTTATATGTGGAGTTCCACGGGGATCGGTACTTGGCCCTCTCTTGCTCAGCATTTACATGCTTCCGCTCGGTGACATAATATATAAAAATAACATTAGTTTTCACTGTTATGTGGACGATACCCATCTATATATGCCGTAAGAGAAATACTAACCGCCGCAGTTGCTGTAATCTCGATAAAACTGAGATGATGATTATCGGCCCTGCTCGGCACCTATTAAAGAACACTAGTCTCAGCCTCGATAAATGTGCTATTACTCAAAGTGATTCAGCCAAAAATCTCGGTGTTCTATTTGAGTCAACTCATCAAAACCAAGTAACTTTTGATTTAATGCAATGACAAAAATTGCGAACAAGGACGTTTCTTCCACTCTCATTCAGAGGATGATTTGCCAGTGTGTCAAACAGCCACAGTATAGTGCTAACTACTCCATAGAAGGGCTTACTCAAAATCCCATTTTTCTTGCCTCAAGTATCGGTGGCTGGTATCAGCGGCCTCGATGAACACCCGATACCTCCAAATCAGGCAGCTGTCGGCCCAAAACCGATACCCAATATCATTACTCACTCATTCCAACAATAAACAAACAACAGGCTGATCATCAGTCAGGGTACAAACAGACAAACAAGAGAGTGGTCGCCAGACTCGCAACACAATGTCAGGGCACACATAGAAAAAAACAATGGACTGGTCACCACATCAAATCAGACCCAGGGCATATATAGAAACAATGGACTGGTCGCCAGTCAATGTCAGAACAAGTCAACAAACAGCAGACTGGTCGTCAGTTAATTCCAGTCCACAGAGAGACTAACAATGACTGGTCGCCAGACACTCAAATGGCACATGGAGACAAAGAACATCTCGACGTAACAGCACTGAATGAATCTTACATGTCAACACCAGGAAAAAAAAGCACCTGAGGCCAGAACCACTCACCTGTGAGGCAGACGCACTAATCACTAGCGCAACGTGCCGCCCAAGTCAACCGCATGATAGAAATTGTATGTTTCAAAGGTCTCCAAGAAATCCCAACCGCACCTGACATTTACGGCCCTTCGACGACAAATGGGCGTCATGTTCATCTCTTGGCTGAGCAGCTCACAAAGCATCATGAGAAATTGGCCATTCTTTTAAGGACCACGTGTGCACCATTTTGTTTAATTCACCGGTAGAACCGACGTGCTTTTCACCCCCTCGCCTCAAACTTCAGACGGCCGGCGTGTCTCGCCTGCCACGCTTTTACAAGTCACATCAGTCACTCACACACACACACACACACACACACACACACACACACACACACACACACACACACACACACACACAAAGGGAAGATGAGAGGGAACGGGCTGAAGCGTAATGACAGGATGTCAAAAGAGATGGCAGCCCCACCCTCGCCTTCTTCACCAAAACCAAACAAGAAGCAACGACGCAAAACCGCAAGACTTCACTCTTCACCTGGGAGGGACTCCCGGGCGCGCTGGGAAATCCTCCAGTTTGACTTCAACCCGCCAGCTTAATGCTAACGCACAATGTAAAACACCACTGACGAGCTAAGTAAAATTAGCATCTCCACAATATTCTACTCGTTAGAAAGACAATCATGATATCACTAAATCAAATTAAAATAATTAAATTTGTTTTTTTTTCTTGTTCCCAAAACATGTCTATTAATAACAATGTAAGAGCCTAGTAACTTTCCGAACACCGAACAAAGAACTTAACATCAACTTTCCAAAAATGCTTTACCACCTTGCTTGATAAATATGATTTTTTTTTAATTAACGTTACAATGGATTGTCACTATCAAATATTTTTAGTAATCTGATAACATTTTAGTTTGCATCGATGCAGGGGTGTCCAAATACGGCCCTGAAGGGCTGCTTTCCTCCATTTTTTAGATTAGGGGTGCCCAAGTTCGGTCCCCGAGACCCCTTATCAAGCCTGTTTTATATGTTTCCTTCCTCCAATGCACCTCACTCAAATGATCAAGATCGTATCAGGCTCCTTGCTTGGTAATGAGCTGATCATTTGAATCAGATGTGTTGGCCAGGGGGAGACATCTAAAACAAAACTCGTTTGACAAACTTGATGACTATAGTTTTTTTCAGTAACTTCAGTATGCATTCCAAGAACGAAAACATTTCCAGAAAAAAAATGCTGATTTATGCCAATCGGCTATCATTTGAATGTCTTAAATCCTCATTTGCGCCTGTCATGGTGTGTTAATGAACCATTTTCCAACCGACGAATGGGCTCTCCTTCAAGCTGATGCCACGTTAAATTGCTTCTTTTCTGACTGGACTTCAGCTCGCTAGTTGCAGATGCCAAAGCACACGTAGCTGACACGCGTCCAAACACACACACGCACACACACACACGTTCATCCATCCATCCAGCCACATGGACAAAGAGCGGACTTACGACTCGGAGCTTGTCCCTCCCGGCGGCCTTTGACAATTCACTTCTCCGCTGCAGTCCGCTCCTGTGCAGCTGCCCGTCGGCTTTTTCGGGGATGACGGCTCGCTTCTCGCGGCCGTTTCGCTCCCCCCCGGACGAGCCGTCCAGGTTGCTGAAGTTCCACACCAGTAGAGTCTGGATGAGCAGCACGGCCAGCGCGGCGGCCGCCACCGCCGACCGGGAGCGGAGGCGGAGGCTGAGGGCCAGCCTGCGCGGACACACGTGAGCCTTCATGGCCGCCTGGACGCCGCTTCAAGAGCGGCTGCTGCCGGCTGGGACGACTGGGGGACGACCGGGGAGGAGGGGAGGGGAGGGATTTTGGCACAGGGGGGGAAAGAGGAGAGCGCGTCAGGCGAATGCCCTCGCGTGGCCGCCAGAGTCAAGTGCTCTCGAACGGTTCCCAGTAACTTGCACCACTTATCTCATGAATGCATGTTCACGTCAGCTGCGGTGCATTCACAGAGTTTGTCCTTCCTTTGGCCGCGCTGACAAATGAGGCAGGTCGTGTGTAAATTTCTTCAGGCACAAGCCCCAAAAATACAGTCTAAAACCCTAACCAGTGCTTTGAGCGAGCACTTCTCAATTTTAGCTTCAAGCCCACATAGTACACTCTCTTGTTGTATTTTCTCTTGTACTTTGCCATACGAATCCTCTAGTAATTCGGATGTCTCAACTTAGAAAAAATATATGAGGATTTTTTTTCTGCATGCGCAAAATTTATTTGGCGTGTACGCCTACATGAACGCAGTAATCATGCTTGTAACGTAACACGCTAACTTCAAAATATAAACCCACCAAATACACTGTCGACAATAGCCTTACTGTGCTTTTATTTTGAAGTTGGCTTTCGTGCTCGTGTGACAGCTAGCCTGACTTACCTTTCGACATTTTGGTTACCTTTTCACAGCTGTGCCATAACACAGTTGCTTGCTCATCAGCAGTACAACGGCATAACGAAATATTATTCAATTGCTGATTTAGGACGCTAAGAAACCGCAAGTTAATTACGGCGCCATTGTATGATACGAAACTGTCAGGGCTAATGAGAGTGTAAACATTGAAATCTCGGCGCTGAGAACACTTGAGGTGCATTCAAATGCAGTTGGACATGTCCAAATCGGACAGATAAAATGCAGTTGTTTATTTATGAATTCTATACTTAATTTTCTGTATTCTATCCATCCATTATCTGAACCGTTTTATCCTCACGAGTGTCGCGGACGTGCTGGAGCCTATCTCAGCTGGCTTTGGGCAGTAGGGAGAGTACATCCTGAACTGGATGCCAGCCAATCGCAGGGCATACATAGACAAACAATCATTCACATTCACAATCACACCTCTGGAAAATTTAGAGTAATCAGTTAACTTACCGTGAATGTTTTTGGAATGTGGGAGGTAATCAGAGTACTTGGAGAAAACACACAAAGGCCTGGAGAGAACATGCAAACTCCACACAGGAAGTCCGCAGCCATGACCTCTGCACTGTGAGGCAGGCGCAATAACCACTTTTTACCGTGCCGCCCTCATCTATAAACTATTATATATTTACTTATAAATTAACGTAATCATCTGTTATTCCTCATCGCCGAGTTTACCTGGCAACAGTCAAATAAGGAGTGGACCTTTAATTATTTTTTTCCACTGAGAGCACTGACCCTAATAAGGTAAAAGAAGCTTTGTGTCAGAAAACACAATCGTCAGTCACCACCAAGATGGATGGCGACATCTCGATTTACCTTGTTATTTAAATGTCATCTTTACATTTTAAAAATGAAAACATTAATTTTGCAAATTAGAACAACTGCATATTTAATGTTTTACTTTGACTTCACAGTGACTGTGACGGCCAGTCAGCGATTGTGGGTGGGTCAGATGTGGCCCATGGGCCATACTTTGCCCACGCCTAGTCTATAGGTAGGTGTTGGCCGTACACACCGGTATGGTGGCCCCAGGCCAGAGTACCGATCTAGTTAGGATGCCTCCTGGACACCTCCCTGGTGAGACGTTCTGGGCACATCCCACCTGGAGGAGGCCCCGGGGATGACCCAGGACATGCTGAACAGAACACCTGAGGATCATCCCGGATGAGCTGGACGAATTGGCCCGGGAGAGGCAAGTCTGGGCTTCCTCGCTTAGGTCCTTGTCCCTCCCACCTGAAAATCCCCGGAAGAAAATGGGATGTTCGATGTGGGCTCCAAGAAGGATTGTTGGTGACTGTTGTGTCTCTTGTCCAGCCTAAAAAAAAATGTGTTAAAAAAGACCCAGCTTCTGGCCTTAAAAAATTGCTCGTCAAAGCTCAAAAGACAGATTCAGGTCACAATGTTAGCAAAAATGTACTTTGTTTTTGTTTATGGAATTGAATTGCAACTACTTTTCCTAATATGTTTTTTTTTAACATGGCATGAATATCAGTCCTACCTTTACTTAAGTACAGAAGCAAGTACTCTCGCTAATGGCAGCCACCTTTAAGCGTAGATACGCGGTGTGGGCACGATGGTGTCGAGGATGGCGATCCGCCGAGGGTCCCACACGCAGTCTTCCTCTAGTCCGCTGGGCACCATCCCGCACTGGGGAGGCACCCAGGCGGTGTCGAAGACGGGGCCGTAGCGCGCGTCGTGCCACGTCTTCTGCCGCGGGTGCCCCTGGTAGTTGATGGCGATCACGCGACCCACATACACCGCCACCTTCAGCACCACCTTCAAACCATTCGTCACGCACACAAGAACAAACACAAAGTGCCTCACAGAACAGGGGAGAAAGGTGCAGACGACTATTTTAAAATGTGTCTTTCAAGGACTGTAAGAGCGTTCTAATATGTTTAAATCCATTCAGAACACGGAAGGAAACGTAAAGTGGGTTTGTGATTTCAAAAGCAAACTTGCCAGAACCTTGTCGGCATCAGGATGGTGGAGCGGGTACCGCCTGGCCTTCTGCAGGTCACGGCTGAGGTAGACGCCGCGCCCCAGCATGCCGTCGGGCGACTGGCGGAACCCCGACGACACGATGAGGTCGGCGCTCTGCCGGGTGGTGCCGTGGTACATGACATACCGCCGACCGTCCTCAGGCACCGCCCCTCCCAGGGGGTCCACGCCCTGCGGAAGCTCAAAGTCGTCTTCGGCCCAATCATATTGCATCCTTCTCCTCTTCCTCGATTGACTGCTGCATCACTGCGGGAAACATAAAACTACAATTATCACATCATGTTACCTTTATATGGCCTAAGCGAGCATAAAAAGCCCAACATGCTCATATGCTACTGTTGACCTATTACAGCGGTGATTCCTAACGACTCAATATGTCATGAGAAATGATGCAATTCCACTTAATTGGTCCAAAAATTATATCCTCCAAATCCTGTGTCCAGAGTAGTGCTGCCAGAAATACATTCTATTTTTATTTTGAGGAGTTGTGGCACCCTTATTGTATCGGCACCACGCGATGACAATAATTAGTTCAGGACTAAAGTTATCAGAATCTATTGTATTCGAAATTATATGGAATTTCAAATTGGGAGGGGCTTTTCGATGCATCTCTGAATTTATCTACTTGCGTCTCCATGAGCACACACACACACATAGCTGAAATGACAAAAAGAAATAAATCTGAGAAAATTACCATAGTAAGCAGCTGTTGAACAACGCAGATGTTTGTTTGTTTATTTATGTATTTTTTTATTGCTGTATTTGCTTCTTACGCGATTGTTTTCGACGCTCTTTACGCACGGCCACGTGCTCGTCGTCGTGTGCGTACGTGTGCTTACAAACGCGAAGGGGCGGGGGATTGTGAGGGGGCGTGAGCCGCCCTCACGAGTGAGAAACCTCCAGCAATTAGTCTGGACCACAACGGAGTGTCGGTGAAATACACTCGTTTTTGATCATTTTGTGTCATGTAGAGTCGCCAAACTTAAAATTAACACAATTTCGCACATGTAATCAGACGACTTCAACTTTCAAAGAAAAAAAAATCAACCCTAATTTGACCGGTCTGTTGGTTTACAGCAGTGGCACAACCGACTACCCAAACTTTAATTTCGTACCAACCAACTACTCGCGAAGCTTTGGCAGAACATTTTTGGTAGTATAGTGTTGCAGCTCCGAAGCAAACAGAGCTGTCGGGGTGGTTTTCAGAACATTTACTTTATTAATTAGTTTCACACTGAAGCGAATACAGACACGTCGATGTTGGACTACGCGCCTTCTCCACTGCCGTCCAACTCCAGACGCGTTCAAAGACCGCCTCAGAAAAAACGTAAATTAATGATTACTTCAAAGACACTCAGGAAAGCAAAAATAATGCAACAAAACAGAAAATCAAGTGAATAACATAAACAGTCTCCTACAATAGGCTACACTAGAATTGCAATAAACAAAGACATGACATATAAGTACATAAGATACGAGTGGAACCTACACTATGGAGACAAAATCCTAGAGTGTTCTACATAATTGGCCAATAAAGATGATCTGATTTTAAAATGAAATAAAAACACATTAAGAAACACTTTCAGCTGCATGTGGGTAGTCATTATTTTAGGCACGACACATCGTTTAATTTTATCAGTAGTTTATTCTGCCAAATATTGGAAGCAGCCTCAAAAAATCCAGATGGGTGGGGCCCCCAAAACCCCCAAAGATGTGAAAACGCAGGAGAACGCTGTGGCTGGCGTCACCGTTGGTCCCCGTGGCACTTCATGTGCAGTCTGAGGTTGGCCTTGCGGAAAAAGGCCTTCCCGCACACCTGGCACTGGTGCGCCTTCTGGCCTGTGTGTATGTCCTTGTGCTTGCTGAGAGACGAGCGGTCGCTGAAGCACCGTCCGCACACGCCGCACGCGTACGGCTTCTCACCCGTGTGCGTGCGCATGTGTCGCGTCATGTTGTGCTGACAGTTGAAGGCCTTCCCGCACTCGCTACATTGGAAAGGCTTCTCGCCCGTGTGCACCCGCATGTGCGTGTCCAGATCCCGGCGGCCATCGAAGCACTTGCCGCACACCTCGCACACTTTGCCGTTTCTGTGCGTGGCCAGGTGGGCCTTCATCTGGTTGCCGGCGTCGGCGTGAACGCCGCACACGGCGCAGTCCGTCAGGTGGCTGTCCGAATGGTTGACGAGCGAGACGAGCGAGTGGAACATGCGGCCGCACACCACGCAGATGACGGGGCTTCTCTTCGGCGGGCGGCGACCCTCCAACTTCTCCTTCTTCTGGTGCGTGAGCAGGTGGCGCACCCTGGCCGAGTGGTCGTTGAAGAGCTTGCCGCACTGGTCGCAAGCGTAGGGCCGCTCACCCGTGTGCGTGCGCATGTGGCGCCGCATGTTGTGCTGACAGTTGAAGGCTTTGCCGCACTCGCTGCACACGAAAGGCTTCTCCCCCGTGTGCACCCGCATGTGCGTGTCCAGGTCGCGGGCGCTGTCGAAGCGCTTGCCGCACACGTGGCACGCTTTGCCGCTGTCGTGCGTCCGCAGGTGCGCCGCCAGGTCGTCCGCGCGGGCGCCGCACACGCCGCAGTCGGTGTGGTGTTCGTGGGCATGGTTGACCAGAGAAATGATAGCGTGGAAGCCTTTACCACACACGACGCACACCACGCGACCCTTGGGCCGTTGCCCGCTTGCCTGGCGCTCGATTGGCGCTCCGTCCGCAATGCTCTCGTGGACCAGCAGGTGGCGTTTCCTGGTGGAGTGGTCGCTGAATTGCTGGCCGCACACCTGTAGAAAGATGTCTGAGTAGTTAGGAACCAGGGCTTTCAAATTCCGGTCCTGGAGGGCCTAACTTAGATCTGACTCAAATGATCAGGACCCCTTTATTAAGTCCATATCCAGATGGAACTAATGATTAGTTACTTGAATAATTGATTCATCTGATGATTCATCGATTAACGTGATTCAATAACAAAAAAAACGTTGTCTAATTTCCCTCCCTTTCATTCAAAACAGCACATTAACAAAAAATGTTTAAAATGTCCCGGACATGCGCCAATGTTTATCGAGCGGCGAGAGCGTACATCTTTTTACTGCAGAACGTCTGCTCGTGTGGAACTTCAGCAACGTCTGTATATATATATAGATTTTTTTTTAACAAAAAGACTTGTGCTGTTCTGAAGAAATGACAGTTGAGTGGATATGACCAGTATAGAATAATTGCCCATGCTTACGTGGCAGGCGTAGGGTTTCTCTCCCGTGTGCCGACGCATGTGTCTGGTCAAGTTATGGCGGCAGTTGAAGGCCTTGCCGCACTCGCCGCACTCGAAGGGCTTCTCGCCCGTGTGCACGTGCGCGTGCATCTCCAGAGCCTTTGCCGTGCCGAAACCTTTGCCGCACACGTCGCACACGTTGCCCCTCATATGCGTCTTGACGTGACCCTCGAAGCTCTCATCCGAGTCGAAGCGCTCCCCGCACACGCCGCACACGTCTTTGGGGTGCACTTCGATGTGATTGGCCAGCGCGATGACGGAGTGGAAGCTCTTCCCGCAAACTTTGCAGCCGAAGGCGGCCTTGGCCTTCCGCGTGGTTTTCTTCTTGGGCTCGTCGCTCTCGCTGGGCTGCCGCCACTCATCGCTGTCCTTCAGAAGTCAATTCAGTCACGAGCACGTCCAAAAAACATTTGACCCAAGTCATGTCATTGAAAGGCAACGCTAGCGAATTGCCACTTGGACGAAAGTCTTGCAGGTTTCCTACAAAACTTTTGATTGCATTTGAAAGGAGGGAATGTTTTGGGGTTTTTTTTCGTCCCGCTTACCTGGCCCTGCGTGTTTAATAAAGACGCTTTGTCGTCGTCAGCGGTGTCGATGTCGCCTTGACACTCCACTTCCTCTTGGTGCGCCACCTCATGGTGATGGCCACACTGCATGGGCGCCTGCGGCTCCCGTGAGCTGCTCGGCTTATCGTCGGCTTTCATAACCTGGAAACACCGTCACCGCATGTTGATTGCGTGTTCTTTGGGCTGAATTGTCCGTGCACTAGTAAAGCGATTCTTCATGACGTTTAGTCGTAAGGTTTAATTACGTACGAATAAGAAGACAGTGACTCGACAAGTGTGCCGGACTGCTGCACTAGTGAGGACAAAGAGTACACTCGTACATGGACCCTTTCCGTGCAAACCTGGCCGGTGTCGGGTTTCTCACCTGCCGTGCATGCACATGTGCCTCGTGAAGTTGCGTTGACATTTGAAGGCCTTTCCACACTCTCCGCACTTGAATGGCTTCTCACCCGGAGAAGAATACGAAAATATTACCTAATTTATATAGCGTGTTTCAGAGGGCTCAATGCTAATTTACGTAGCAGACAAAACAGTATCAGTAAGGACACAGTGCTTTCTTTCAACCTAAGTAGTGCTTCGCCGCCATATGGGGCATCGAGGCTTTATGTTTAAATGAAAAGAGGTCGTTCATTTCGACATCAGCCATGCTTTTCCGCCATGTGGTGGTATCTTGGTGCCGAGGAACTATGTCAAAATGAATTGAGGAGTTTCATCTAGACCAAAGCCGTGCCACAGAACTATGTCAATCTGAAAAAAAATAGTGCTTTGCCGTTGTTTGGTGGCACCTTGATATCAACAAACAATGTTGAAGTGAACGTAGGCCCATTGTTTGGACAAACCTAATGCTTTATCGCCATCTTCTTGACAAGGAAAAAGCATACTGGTAGGATCTGGAAGAACTGATCAGGCGGGCTACGCTGGGCTTACCTGCTCGCCGACGGTTGGATCCTGCTCGAGTGGCGCTTTCCAGTCGCGATTGCACACCTCGCCCTCGTCCTCATCCTGCAGCAGCTCGTGCGGCACCAGCACAGACGGCTGCGCTGCATCTTCACCACAAAACACAGCAGCGCTCATTTTGTTATATGATTAGCCACATTTCTCCGTCTACATCTGCACTCATTGCAGAAGTACGACTGTATGATTAGCACATCTATTTTAATGTCCGTAGTTTATGTCACGTTTCAACGTACAATAAAACAAACACAGGATACACACCGGATATACGAGAATTGAATATTATATATAATATACAGTATATCATGGTCAATATACTATTAAGATTGCAAGTTGCAACTATTCATTATGACAAAAAAAATCTACCGATTGATTCTCAAACTTTTTCATCCTTTAATTGAAAAATAATTATTATGAAACATTATTTCAAATTGACAATGCAGAAAAGGCACAAAAAATTGGATGATGACTGGTTTGGTCTGTTACCAGCCCACTTATTTGACACTGTTAAAGGAACACACACAAGTCTATCATTGCTCTAAGTTACAAGCAGTTTGGATTCAACCACTGCAAAACAAACGATCACAATATCGGAGTAGACACTGATCACTAATCCGTATTTGCATGTTCATGATGGTTCTGTCAGAATCTTCTGTCAGTGTCGACCAAGCCTCACGTTTTTTCGCGACTCACTAGCGGCCTCTTTCGTCACGAAGCAGCAATGCAAATTGAACGAGCGCCAATGAAGTTGTCCAAAGAGATTTTCACGAGTTTGATTGCTCGGAATTTTCGACGACGTTAGAAGAGAAACGAACCTTTGTGTTGTACGAGTCTTTGGTGTCGCTCGAGCTCCAGTCTGGAGCGCAGGAGCTCGTCCTCGAGGCCGACGATGGTGCCTTTCACCGCCTGGAAGATCTCCTCTGCGGCCGCGCGCAGACGCTCGTTGACGGCTGCTTGGAGCCGCTGGAAGCTCGACATGACGCCAGAGGACAGTCGGACGGCAGCGAAAAAGACGATGGTAAGAGACAAAGAAAACAAAAACAGGCTACGAATATCGATTAGAAACAGGGACGCTCACTCCGGCGTCTTCTTCTTCGTCACCCACAGAGAAGTGTGCTGCTTGCTCAGTGTCACAGTGATGCCCCTAGCGGGGCATTTGTGGAGCTACACGCACATGCTTGCATTTTTCATGAACGCTTTCGAATCTTAATTACTTTAGACACTGTACTGGACATTTGAACTGATAAATCAACAAATAGATGTATTCATTTCTGGCATTAAAATATTTATAAATCATCGTATTACTGTAAAATAAAAATACAACAATATTAAAATGAATTGTTTTATTTTGTTTTCTCCATTATCATGATTCAAATGAGCAATTTCACAATGGATATTGTAAACATGTAGAAATATTCAAGAAAAAAAAATCATTCATAAAATTATCACGGCCCACTTCGCCGCACAATGGATATTGTAAACATGTAGAAATATTCAAGGAAAAAAATCATTCATAAAATTATCACGGCCCATTTAGCCTACAATATCAAGACTTACATATCTAATCTATCTCTATTTGTCCAACTGCACAAACAAACAAATATTCCAAAACCCAGCAAAAGGGCGCCCGTTGCAGCTGGCATGTATTAACACAAGCAATCAGGGTTTATTGGGAAAGACTCCAGAATTTTAATCAACACTTCACATGAGTGGCAATCGACTGGTGAGTCTGCAGCATAATCAAGAGGTTCCAACACAATAACACCCCCCCCCCACACACACACACAGTGACAGTAATTAGTTAGTGTGTGAGAATAGCACAAGAGTACATATTGTCACTGAAATGACTCAGAACCAAAAAAAAAAACAAAAAAAAAACAAAAACGGATGAATCACAATGAGGCCGCCATCACATCCAACACCCAAAAGTCTGCAGCATAATCAAGAGGTTCCAACACAATAACACCCCCCCCCCACACACACACACAGTGACAGTAATTAGTTAGTGTGTGAGAATAGCACAAGAGTACATATTGTCACTGAAATGACTCAGAACCAAAAAAAAACAAAAACACGGATGAATCACAATGAGGCCGCCATCACATCCAACACCCAAACATGGATGAAATCCTCTTACAGGTTTTCAACTCAGGTCAGAGGACACCCAAATAAGACCATATATTACAAATACTTTTCATGTTCTGAACCGTCAACATGTGATGTGTAAAGCCAAGTGTGTCAAGCAGTGACCGAAAGTAACCTTGTACACCCTGAACTGGTCGCCAGCCAGTGGCACGGTACATATCGACAAAGAATGAAATGGTTGCCCAACAATATCAGGTTTCATGTAGACAAACAATGGACTGGTTGTCAATCCAGGTAAGGACACTTACAAACGATGTACTGGTCGCCAGTCAATCTCAGGGCACATATAAACACACAATCGAGTGGTCGCAAGTCCATTTCAGGACACTTAGAGAAACAAGAACTGGTTGCCAGCCAAAGTCAGATCACATATACTGTCGACTTCCAATGGACAATCAAGATCAGGGCACATAGAGATGAACAGGACTGGTCGCCAGGTAATGTCAGAAGACTTATTGACAAAACATGTGTTCACTGCACTGCACTGTGTTCATATTACAAGTAGCCTATATTTCCAAAGAGGTGCTGTGCACCACATTGTCATCAGGCATAGTTTTTGCGGTCCCGTTTGCTTCATTTCCGAGCAAAGGTGTCGCGAGGGAGGTCTCAAGGTCCCTCCCACCAGAGTCCTTCCCACCAGACAGCATTTGTCCTTGGGGATTCTGCTCCGGCCCCTCGCGCTCCGCCAATAAAGGCTCCAGACCCAGTGACGAGCAGCCTGCCATTCCGTTTTGCTCCATTCTCAAGGCTTGCGTCATTTCTGAGACGTCGTCGTCTTGGTGGAGTCCTCGCCTCAGGCTCTCTCTGGGCACGGGTGCCTGCCTGCCGCCCTCCTTTGGCGGCTGGGGCTGGATGGCATGGTGGTCCTCCACTTTGCGGGTGGCGCGGCAGAGGGCTTTGCGGAAGCCCCTCTTGAAGTTGTCTGACATGAAGCCGTACACCACCGGGTTGGCGCAGCTGTTGGCGTAGCCCAGCACCACCACGAAGTAGTACAGGCCCTGATACTCGGGGGGCAGCGCCACCAGCAGGTTGAGCACGTTCAGCGCGTAGAAGGGCAACCAGCACAAGACGAAGACGGCCACCACGATCACCACCATGCGCGTCACCTTGCGCTCCGACTTGCGGCGCTTGGTCGAGGCTGTGTGGACCTTCTTGGCCGAGCTGCGCACCTTCAAAGAAGAAGAATAATACATGATATTTAAGGACAGTGATATATATTGTACATGATGTCCGCGGACAGATTTTCTTTCTGTTTTCACTGAGGTCACCCGCTAACTAAGCTAGCTGATTGATTGCTGCTTTCTTTTCCAAGCAAAGATCACACCATGTGAGAAGTGAATGAGGCGGGCGCAGCATTGAAAGGAAATGGGAGGAGCTACCTTCATTGGAATTATCTGTGTTCACACCCACAATGACGCACCCCCTCCCCTTTTTCACATCTACGAAATGATTACCAGCAAATCTAACCTCCTTTTCGTGCAGATTGAGATCGCGATTCACAAACACTGAGCATGCAATGTGTTGTGAATGTAACCTTGAAGACGATGAGCACGTAGCAGAGGCAAATGATGAGCAGCGGGCACAGGAAGCCCACTGTGGAAGTGTAGACGATGAACGCCGCCCTCCACACCTTGGCGGGCGCCGGCCACAGGATGTTGCAGTTGCCGCCCGTCTTCTGGATGTTGGCGAAGACCACGACAGGCAGGACCACCAAGAAGGACAACGCCCACACGGTGCCGTTGACCACCTTGGCAATGCGGGGGCGTCGCCAGCGGGCCGAGCGGACGGGGTGGCCCACCGCCAGATAGCGGTCCACGCTCATGACGGTCAGGCAGAAGATGCTGGTGAACTGGTTGATGGAGTCCACCGTCATCACTAGGCGGCACATGAAGGATCCAAATGGCCACATCTGCAGCGAGTTCTGCACGGCCAGGAAGGGAAGGCCCAGCATGAAGAGCTCGTCGGCAATAGCCAGGTTGAGGATGTATATGTTGGTCACCGACTCCATCTTGGAGTGATGCAGCACAATGTGGATGACCAGCGTGTTTCCGCCCAGACCAATCACGCACACGATCACGTAGATGAGAGGGATCAGGACGCCCCCAATGCCAGGTCCCGACCCGTCATCCGGCGCTGTCGTGTTGGTGACATTCAGTTGGAGTAGAGGAAAATCCTGGAACGGGGCGCTGGTGTTCTCCACCGCCGCCTCCATGTTGGCAAAACAGCAGCTTTACTGGGAAAAAAAAAACAACAACAACATCACTACTCATTTAAGTAGAAGAAGTTGGACAGAATTATGATTTCACTTTCTTAGATTTTTTTCTTTCAGGGTGACGTCTGAGTAGGAAGGGATTCCTTGGATGTTGTGCTAAATGCTAATTGCGCTAACGTTGGGAGACAAAATGTCAGCGGGTTGTTCTGCAACCATCCTAAAGGTCAGCGGGACTTGAAAGCTCAGGGGTGAACCACACAAACACACACACACACACACACACACACACACACACACGCACACACACACACACACACACACACAAAAGCATGTACGCAAGCAAACAAGTGTGTCCCATTTACAAGGCAACACAATCTGCATCATATTTCTGACCGATGAGGACTTTAACATCAATGACAATTTCATCATCAAACTAAGTGTGTGTGTGTGTGTGTGTGTGTGTATGTGTGTGAACATTTTAGTTTTTTTTCAACTATTGTATTTTATTCCAGTTTAATATATATTACATATTAACTATCGCTATTATGTGACCTAACAAATGTACCACAGGTATACACTATTTGATCCATCTTTCCACTTCTCAATTTGCTCGCAATTTTTAAATGACTTTTGATGAGCAATTTCACACGAATGCATTTCAACAGTGTCACACAGTGTACATGAGTGCATGACCATTCATGATGATGTCACTTTTTATGATATACTTCCCAACTTGCATCAATATTACTCGAACATCATTTGTCTTTCTGCAATTTTTTTTTTCCGTGAATCTTGCCTGAAGCACAAACAATTCATCTTACCTTTAGACGATGACTTTACCTTCTGTTCAGAATGCAAGCACCAAACTTCACCGGTCGCCAATCTCGCTCAGCTCATGTCCACGTTGGATCGTAAGTGGAACCTGCATCATCACCAGCAACTGCAGCAGCAGCAGCAGCAACCTAGCACTTGTCCGCTTGTAACTAGGAGACAGCTTGTCAAGTGGGAGGTGTTAGGATGCCAATCTGCGTACGTGTGTGTGTGTGTGTGTGTGTGTGTGAGTGTGTGTGTGTGTCACAAGCCAGGCTGCAGCGAGTGGACCTTCCGCAAAAATGGAAGATGCCACTTGACTTTTATTGGAGCATCAAGTCAGATAAATAATAAGAGCAATATGTATTTTTCTTAAGCCACTCATGAGAACATCAACAGCGGTCAAAGTTGTATTCATGTTGTTTTTTTTCTCTTTATGGTGCATCTGGAAAGGATTCACGGTGGTTCACCTTCACCGCAATTTAGTTAAGTTAGAGGCTTATTCCAAAATGCAACAAATCCATTTTTCACCTTCCAATTTCACATTTCACGACAACCCCCAAAAAAAGCCCAGAAATAAAAGGCTTTTGTACAGGGGTGTGTAGACTTATGCGCCTCGCAATCCATGTAAGGTATTTTGTTTGAAATGCATGACAGGTGCCAATGATTGATTGATCCACTTACATGGGTTGTGATGACGTCATCGCACACTGGAGGCAACGCAGACGGAAGATGAAGAACGATCTCCAATCTTTGCCACGAGCTCAACCTGCTGGAGAGAGACTGTTCTTGAGATTGTTACTTTTGAACTTCTGCCATATGTCAATCAGGCTAGATTTAACGTAAACATCATTTCAGTGAAGAAATCGAGGACGGCCAATCAGAAATCTGAGCAAGCATGAGAGTTGTTTTTGGACTGCATTGGGCCTTCTGCTTTTGAGCAATATTCCCGCCCCCCGGTCGCTAGCTGTCAACAAATGGTGACCACGACGTGATTTGGCAGTCAGTTGATCACTCGCCATCCTAAATTTGCCCGCGAGGAGGCGTTGACAACTGTACAATGTACAATACGTATTCAATGAAATGTTCAAGAACCTTGTAAAGTGAATTGAGAGATTTGTTTCTAAAATACATTTGACATGTTTTGAACATATGAAAGGCTGACAACATGGGGAACTTTATACCGGAATTAGCAAAGTCTCTAGTGTGGTTGGTGGCTAATTCGTTTGTTAGCATGATTACTGGCATGACTAATGTTAAACATTGTTTGCATGTTTGCCAACATTCGTAAAAAATGAACCGGCAGACGGAAAGTCGATCGAGACCGCGTCAGCAAAGGGCTTTGTTACTGCACAAGGACGTGCCGTTTGTTAGCGTCTGCGTGTCAGAGAGTGTCTCGTTTGACAAGGTTATCCAATTGTAGTGGCCTGGTGGTAACCATGGCAACAGAACCACATGGCGAATGTTGAGACCTTGGGAGTTTTCGAGAGCATCGACAAAGTAACTCGCCACTCCGATTAATGTTCATTTGTATGTTTGCAACAAGGGCTAACTATGTTCACTGGCATGCTTTTTTTAAAACTATGATACTTGCCTGTACTGAGAGGAAGTCAAATTATTTCATCAGAAGCCATCAACATCACTTCAGTTGTGAAGAGCACCTGACCGCACTCTGCAGCGGCAAGGAGTCAAACAAACAAACCACTTCCTGCTTGCTCAAAGTGGAGCAGCAGTGGCATCGCTTGGTCCCTTCACCGCCTCAATCTCAACACTCCACAAACACCCCAGAGTTGCGTTATCATGTCATGTTTCTTGTCATTTCGATTTTTACAATTAACAAAAGAAAATGACTGCATAAAAAAATGACCAAGACAACCAAAGTCAGCCGAGAATAAAGAACTGATCTTGAGCTCACTTGGTTGGGACTTATTGATGGAATTCAATAACTACCGGTACTTCTTTTTTTTAACCACGGTTGTTCCTCGCCTGACAATTGATCCGAGGCTCGGCTGCTCAAAGCTCTTTGTTCATGGCCAGGATTGGGCTCAGGTTATGGCAACAATGATACACGAGCAAAACAAGTTTTGAGAACTTGTCGTCAAGGTTTAGGGACATGCCGCTCTCCGATCTGCCAAGTGTTCTCCGACTCGCTGGAGGTGTCATTTCTAACTTTCGAAAATCATGCCATCAGTTATTTTGCAAAACCAGGTCAGATTGTCACTGGTGAGAGGGAGTAGAAACCAGTTCACTGGTCATATTACACACACATCTATCTAGATAGATAGATACACACAGACACCCACGCACACACACTTTTAATGGATTTTCAACAATTCTGACAAAATAATCTCGAATGAATAGCCCAGCCATTCTGGTTACCCATAATGCCTTGAACAGTGCACGTGTACCTCATGCTACAAATTATTGTTGTTGCTGCTTGACTGCTGTACGAACAAAATAAAAGCACATCAAAATGAAATTTTGTCCCTTTATTTTGAAACATTTCTGCTGTACCTAATGAATTGAGCCTGCCTTGGCTCCTCCCCCTTCTTCTACTTCTGCATCAAAAGGGTTTGGTGTAGTTTGCCGGAAAGAGACCTCTCCTGCCGCCGCATCGTCCCGTCCACCAGGCGGGATCGGAGGCGTCGGTGATGTTGATGACGTCGCCGGCGCAGAAGCTCAACTCGTCGTCTTCTTCGGCACTGAAGTCGTACAAAGCCAAAACCTGTTGCGGTGGCGTCGCCTTCTGCTGGAAAACACACACATAGCATGTTGCTATGCTAACAGGTGAGCGGTGTGTTGGTCAGACCTGGTGAAGGTGGGCGCTGTCAGGAGCTTGAGCTGCACCGATCGGGCTTCTTCTTCCTGATTGGACGACGCTCTCCATGTGCTCCTCCGAGCCACGTCCCCTCGGCTGCAAAACACCAAGACACAATGTTTGACATTTGACCTTCACATCCAAAAATTTGACTCCACCTCTGATAAATGATCATCAAGTCTGAAGTTAGACCTTCAAGTCACAATATTGATCCCTGAGTCCTAAATGGACCCCCAAGTCCCAACTTTGACATTCAATGCAAAACATTGATCTTCAATTTCAAATAAGTGACCTTCAGATCCTAATTTTCACTCTCAACACTAGCTTTATGCTAATGTATAATGCGAAATTCCATAGAAAGGCTAATAGAAATTAGCATCACTAAATATTTTTGAGTAATTGTAAACCTTCAAAAAATGCTGGGAGTTGTGTGAAATGTTCATAAAATGAGTGTTGGTAAGTAGTAAGACTCGTACAGCGTGAAAACCCATAAGAAAATGATGGCTTAAAGATCTGCGAAAAAAGACAAATGGCAATATAGCAGAAGTTCTCTAAAAATATTTAGTTAGAATGAAGTATCATTGAAGAAACAGTTTGCGAATAATATGGCGTAGCTACCATGTGACTGTGCTGAGGCTGATCGGTGACTGGTCGCGCGGCGGCAGCGGCCATGTTGTCGGCTATGCTTTGCTGTTTGGGTAAACGTCCGCCCTTCGCCTGCAGGAGGAGACACACTATAATTGTTTATTCCAAGAGTAAGAATTCAACATCATTATGCGGCTTACGTTTTCCGGTAGTGAGCCGTTGCTTGGGTCCGTTTTTTAAATTTTTTTTTTATTTGGTGTTACGAGGTACAATTTGAGCGAGCTTCAGAGGCTGACGTGTAAGTGAACAAAAATCCTCTGGCATGTGGGCAAAGACAGCCACAGATAAACAGTCAAACACAAATAGAAAATGGACACATCTGTAACGAGCTGCTGTAGATCACAACTCACACGCAGGTTAACCGGCCAATCTACTTCGAGCTAGGCCACACCCCTTTAAAACATGCATCCAGTACACGAACACGACAGTATGTGCAATAATTACACTTCATGAAACCTTTTTTTTTTTTCATGATCTCTTTGATTGTTTTTTATCCCGTGTTATGTATCAAACAAATAACAAAAAAGAAAAAAAGTGTTTTGTTTTTTTAAGTGCTGGAATAGTCATCGCATTTCAATGGAGACAATTAATTTGGTATTCAAGTTGCAGAACAAATTGAACTCATAAGTCAGGGTACCACTGTACTGTTTAAAAACATTTTTGTAGTTAACAAAGTGCTCATAGGTCGTTTCCCCATCAAGATTCCAACCCGGTACTTTCTCGCTGCGAGGAGCACTGCGTAAACCACAAGCTTCACCGTGTGGCGCGATTTCTCTGAAGTTTAGCAGCTTGCTCACTTCCTGCTCAGCTCAGAAGAAATATCGAACACTAACCCTAAACTCCTATAATGTAGCTAAAGTCTGGAACGTTTGCTGGTGTGAACTCTTTAGAGCGCCTCGTTGTCAGTTGGGAGTGCACAAACATCACACACATAAAGATGGATGAGCAAGGTGGAAAGGTGGAGTTTTTTTTTTTTTTTTTTAAATGACCTGACAGGCAGCACGTGGTGATGCGCGGTTAAGAACAGTCAAAAGTTGGAGTAATTGCGCTTTTGTGTCTGCTTTTGAGTACTTTGTTGCTGGCTGCGAGTGCGCACGTTATGGTTTTTCTAAGTCCGCCATGCCAGTCAGCAGGTGGAAAGCGGCCATGAGCTAATGTGGCCATTTTAGAGCGCCTCGTTGGGGCATATTTCAGTCACCGGAGGCTGGAAGTGGATATTTTTGTGGCTCAAACATGTGACACATAGACAGAAGAACGATCATTGATACTTGATTGACAGCTGACTGTTGAGCAGATTTGGTGTCAGCGCATTCAGCAGACACGCCCACAACGACAATTCTTCAAACATTTTGAAGCCTCGTTTTATATACTTGGGTTTTTTTTTGTTTGTTTTTGTGTTTTTTTTTTAAGCATTCATATACCAAAGTTGTTAACAACATTCTGCTCTGAGCTTTGTCGAATACACAAGATAGGTCTATTTTCTGTTTTGTTTACCGTTTGGGTGCCAGGCGTTGTTCTGATGGAGTCGTCGACATTGAGGAAGATGCTGGTGGTTTTGGAGATGGAAGTGGTCTTGTAGAAGTCCACCAACTTGTTGAGGGACGTGAATCTCTCGGCCCACAGGAAATAGTGACCTCGCTCGTCGCGGATGACCTTGAAGTGCTGCACGTCGCACTCGTGCCTGCGTCCAGGTCAAAATTTCAGCCACAAACTCAGCTCAAGGTCAACAGGAAAGATGTGCTAAAACCTGCGTTAGCTTAGCAACGCTCCTTTTGTCAACACACTGCATCAGCACTCGCTAACCATTAGCATTAGCTAAACCAAATTAGAACTGTCACATTTTAGGAGTCTGTACAGTCTTTCTTTGAGATACTGTTTCAGTCACCCGACATATGAGACTTTCAAAATTAAAGCTTTCATTCAGCCAATATGTCGACTGGTCAGCATAAATTTGAGAGATGAGTGCTGTATGGAGGCAGTGAGCTCACTTGAGAAAAAGCAGCTTTGGCAGATAACCAACCTAGACATAAAACAAAGAGAAGTTATTTAATAGAACCTTACAACGCAACCTAAAAAAAGAAAATTTAGCTGAATGTTAACAAGCAATGCAAAACACCACTAATATGCTAACATCTTGGATCGATAGTTGCTAATGAGCCAAAAAGCATTTTCAATGTTTTCCATGAAAAACAGGGATTGGCTACCCGCGCCAAAATAAAATAAAGCATTTTGAGAAAAAAAAAAGGAATTAAATACTGTTCTTAATTATGTCATATAACTGTTATTCTTTTGGCGGGGTTGGCATTAACAGATTAATGGAAATTAATGTAATCAATTTTGGAATAAGGTTGTAAAATAGAAAAGTACTTTCCAGATGCACTAATGTACATCCAAAAAGTATTGGCAGTGCTTCACTTTTGGGTGAAAGGGGAGTTTTGTTATTTTTGAAGGGGAAGTTTTGTTATTTTTGATAAATACACAAAAATGGTAGATAAAATGTTGGGAGTTTGCGACTGACTTGACGGAGATTGAGAAGTTTCCAGGTGAACTTTGGCATCCTCGGATGACGAAGTCTCCGATGGGTTTGGTGCTGAGGATTTGCTCGGCCGCACCGCGAGTGGCGTTCTCCTGGAACCATCTGCAAACATCCCCATGTCACCATACAAGAAGACGAGGATCGAAGAAGACATTCTGTGAGGGCGGGGCTTACCCGGGAGCGGTCAAGTCTACATAGTTTTTGGGGACGAAGCCTTCGTGTCCGAGCATCTCAGCTTTGTACCAGTCGCCATGCGTGCTTAAAATCTGATGGGAGACAGAATGTTTGGGATAAAAAGTTGTTTGGGGAATGATGGGCCGACATTGCGACGATCTTAGTTCCAAACCTTGAACACATCGTCCTTCTTAAAGTTGAGCTCACCAGCCGATGTAGCCGTGAAGTCATACTTTCCTCTTGCCTCCATGTTGTCAACCACAAGCAAAACAACAACACCTAGAGAGATAGGTTGATTTCAAAACAAAATGCACATGTTCTACATTTCATTCAATTGGACTATAAACAAATACCTTCAATTAGAAAGTTTGATGCATTTAGCAGGAGTCATGGGAAACAATGCAATCCAAAGCGCTACAACTTGCTGCGGCCCGCGACCACATGCTGAGTGGCCCCTTAATTAATTAAAATAAATTTTGACATATGTAAACATTTTTTACAACCTGAAAAAAATGTTTTTTAAAATGCTGATAAACATTCAATAGACATTTTCAACAGTAAACGAGGGGAAATGGGGGTAAATGTTTGAAAAAAAAAATCCTGGAAAAAAATGGACGAACTTCAAATATGCAGGGATTGACTCTAGTTTGAAGTTGTAATATCACCAATCAGAGCTAGATGGCAGACAAGTTTTGGTTACGCCAGGTATTCAACTGCCCTATACTACAAAGTGAGTAGACTGACTTGGTTTTTTTTGCAGATTTGGAATGATGGGCAGGACAAACATTGTGCCGGAATAATATTACAATTTTCAGTGACTTGATTTTTGTGAAAAAAAAAGTCAAATGTTGATGTCTCGCACATATTTGTGACACAACTTATAGGGCGATTTACAAAAATGCAGAAGTGTGCTGGTGTTTACTTTCTCTTTGCCATCTTCCACATTGCCAAATCTTGTTTGTAGCTCATCGTGTGATTTAATGACCCATAAGAAGAATAATACATCATATTATTGATCAGTATTTCCTTTAGTAATCAAATAAAATCCAACATCAACTATTCGTTGACAGTTTGAGTGTCATATGACGGTGAAGACCGTCTCCTGCAGCTGCATCTGAAGCAACAATTTATGGAAAATTCCACTAATGGCGGGAACAAGTTGAACTGAAAAAATATCAATCATGTAATTATAATGAGAATAATGGCTAGCTTCTTTGAAAAAAGATCAGATCATATAGATGATAAATATGTTTAATCACAATAACGTTTACAGGTAGGATGTAAAATAATCAAGAAAGTGGAAATATATTAACTAATAACAGACTGTGACTGACAAAAGTATCGTAGGAATGCAAAAGTAATCTTAAATGGCATCCTAAATAGAATATTTTTTTGTTTTGTTCTGTTTTTACACTTGACTTGAGTGACTTTCGTACACAACATGACGGCGTTCCTTAATTTAAAACAGTTTTACCTTGCAAGGCTGTGTTTCGACTTGTGAGAAGTTTATCCCATGGAGGAAAAAAAAGCCAAGAAGCAAACCGTTATTTTCTTTTTCCTTCCGCGTCACGTGCAGCACGAGGAGTATCCAGGAAATAAAACGAGTCAAATACCGTCATTGACAACAAAAACAAAAAAAAAAAGTGACAGTATTTGGAACAGACGACGGTGGGTTCATCTTATCGCAGTTGTGCTTTCAAATGAAGTGGCACACGCACCTGCTTATTTCGGGCTTTTAATCACTTCCGGCTTCCAAAATAAAACACGTGCTATTTCCGTTGAGCTTGTGAGTGTTTTCATGATTTCCATGATCGAGTCCTTGGAATATGTCATGTAATAATGAAAATGTAGACTGGTTTTAGATTTTGCTTATTGAATAACTTGCTAACATAAAAATAAAATGAAAAACAAATTAAATTAAGTTATGGTAATAGCTGCATTCATTTAGACGTTTTCTATCTGCAAGTGCCGGTTACTTTAAACCTACCCCCCCCCCCCCCCCTATTGTCGCG